GTGGTGCAACCAGCGGCCGCCGCAAACGCAAGGCGTCCGCAAGGCCTCCTTGAACTGTTGCATGACGGGTTTCGTCGCGTCTTCGAGGAAGCTGTCCACGTTCTCCCACGCCCAGGCCTGGTCGATGATCTTCTCCAGCACGTGCTCGTTCTTGAACATCCAGGCAACCACCTTGTGCGAGCAGGACGTCTTAGCGTACGCCATCAACTTGCGCACTGCGTGGGGGTCGTCCGGAGTATTCCGGATCCCAGACCTGACCACTATCGGCCACAGGTCCACTTCCTCGACGCGAGGCCCTGGCTTCCCCTTCTCGCCCTCGACCTGCTCCCGCGCGGTCCTGCGCTTCTCCAAGGCGCGGGCGGTCGTCGGCTCCCTCTTCGCCGCGGACAGCGGCGGGTGGTCCGCGGGCCAAGCCAAGTAGTCAACGTCCAGGGCGCTCCGCGGCTTCTTGGGCGTCGCGTTCGCGCAGTACCCGACGGCCGACCAGTGCCCGTCGTGGCTGCAGGACCAGTGAGAGGCGAGTTGGTACCTGTTGAGCAAGGCCCGCTTCACGGTCCGGAACTTGCTCTTCTTGCCCAGGTGCAATGCCACGCGGTAGTGCGCCCGCCGGACGCCTGCCACTGGCGCGTGGTATTCTTTGAATGCCACCAGCTTCTTGACCCCGACGGGCGCGGCCCCCTGCCCGCGGCGGCTTGCGAGCCACGCGGGGTCGGCGTCCGGAGCGCCGCAGCAATCCAGGAAAGCGTCGCGGACCTCCTCCCGCGAGAAAGCCGCTGGCGCTCTGAGACCCTCCTTGTCCGTGTGCGGCAGAGTCACCAAGTAGACCTCCCGCGAGGCGTTTCTGTTCTCCTCGCCGACGACGTGCTCGAGGAGCGCCGTCTGCTGGCTCTGCTTCCCCACGAGCCTGCGGCGCTTCTCTGGCCTGTCCACCGAGAGCACCATCCCCCGGCGCGACCCGGCCAGGGCCAGCCCCCGCCCCGCTGAGCCGACAGGCTACAGAGAAAAACGCAATGCGGACCGTCGGGGTCTTCGGGGGCATTGTAAACCGCCGCCTGGCTGCTCAGTTGGGGAGCTCGTTGCACCTGGCGTCGTCTGCGCACCTGTCGCACTTGGGCGCGCCCCGTTCACCTGGCGCGTGTGGCCCACCTGTCGCGTGCCGCGCACCTGTCGCACGCGGTGCACTTGGCGCGCCTGGCGCGCCCCTTGCACCTCTGGGCGGGGTCGGCGGATCCTGTCCATGGATGCCGCTCGCGCGGCATTGTTGGACATGTGCAAACATGCATAAAACTCCTACTGAACCTACAGTGAACCATCAGTGAACCAACAGTGAACCAACAGTGAACCATGGCAAATTACATAGTGAACCTCCATTTTTATATAAAAAAGAAAAATTCCCTACTCTTTTTTAATCGAATTCGAGGTTCACTATGGTTTTTTACGAAGGTTCACTGTTGGTTCACTGTTGGTTCACTGTTGGTTCACTGTTGGTTCACTATGTTTTTTGCTGCATGTCTCGTGCGAGGGGCTCTCTGGGGTCGCCAGGGCGCTGGCGCCTGGGGGGCCTCGGCGGACAGAATCATAATGCCAAGATCAAGTACTTTCGACTACGTCTGCTGGCCCTGTAGCCGCAAGGGCGGTGGACGCACGGATTGGTCTTGATCGTGGACCGCGACTGGCTCCCTTCCCGCGCCCCAAGTCGCTCGCGCGGGTCAACCGAGGCGCGGGCCGCTACGGGCCGCCCGCCGCCCCGGCCCGCTGCGGTCTGCGCCGCGGTCGCCCGCCGCCCTGGCCCGCCGCGAATCGCGCCGCGGCCGCCCGAGGAAACCGCGCGCGCGCTCAGTTCCCACCGCCCTCGGCGAAGTGGCCGCCCTTCGCCTCGACCAACAAGCCGCAGTGCTTGTGCAGGCTGCCCATGATGCTGTGGATGTACTCAGACGGCGTCGCCAACGCCGTGCGGCGCAGCCTGGCCAGGTACTGCGCCCGCGTATCCGTCTTGCTCGCGAGCCAGTCTTCTCCTGTCCCCTCATGCGCTTGTTCAGATTGGCCCAGAAGGCGAAATCAAGCGGCATCAGATCAGGGGACCGCTTCGGCAAGTCCAACGTCTGGATGCCAGCGGACTTCTTCGCGCCATGCCCGAGCGAGATTTGTAGCCCGTGGGGTCGTTGTCTTCCATGGCGCCGAACTTGCCGCGCACGGAAGGGTAGGCCCTCCTCAAAGCGGGCTGGAGCGCCCCCGAGTGCATTCGCCCCGCGGCTGCGGCGTTCCACCTACCGACCACGTGGTGCCACATCAACACCTTGCCCGCGCCGATGGCGCACGCGATGGTCACGGAGCCCTTGCCCGAACTCTGCTTCAGAACCTGTGGGCGAGCCAAATCAGAGCGCGCCGTCGGCCACTGGCCTGGCGCTGAGTGGCCTCGGCGCGGTCTCCGATTTGCGCCAGCCCGAGAACCTTAGGGTTGCTCGGCTTGACGTGGCCCACGGAGAAGTCCCGCTTGCGCTTCCTGTGCACCCCGCGAACCTTGCGCTTTGCCGCCACCTTCCTGTACTTCGCATTGGGCAGCACCTGGAACACCTTCTTGTCCATGCACGCGTGGACATACTGTGACCACTGGCTGGGGCTCCGGTGCTTGTGCTCGCGGGCCCACTGCAGGCGCTCCTTCTTGTCCCCCTCCGAAAGGTCAGGCTTCTCGTGCAGCGGGCGGAACTGGTAGCCATTCTCAGCAAACGCGCGGCGCACTGTCTTGATGTCGCATTTCAACTTCATCTCGGACTTCAGCATGGCTGCCGTCACTTCCTTTGTGCCGCCCGAGGACTTCAGCAGCTTCTTGTAAGCGCGCTGGGCAGCGAGAAACCCTTTGGGGGTGCGGATGGAATGCTTCGGGCGGCCCTTGGACTTCTTGGTCGTGTTCTTTTTGAACAAATGCTTCGAGACGGTGTCCGTGGAGCGGCTCAAGGCCGCGGCGATCCTCTTGACGCCCATGCCGCCGTCTTGCAAGCGGCGCATTGCGACGTGCTCGTCGGCAGATACATGAGTGAAGGATTTCGGCGACATTCTCCGGCTGTGGAGACAACGACGGGCCAAATGCGCTCGGTCCAGAAAGCGCTGCGGTCATCCTTCCCACGGGGGCATCCTGAAAATGGATGCAGTCCAGTGAGCGAGGGCATCCTATATCTCGGATGCCCTTTTTTCCATTAGTAGCGCCATAGGTTCGGGTGGCTTCTGTCCGAGAAAATGGTCTAGATCTGCGCGACATGCGCGCGCAGGTGCGCAATGGGGATCCATTTTGGGATCCCCCCTCGCTGCTGCTTCGTCGGCTGCCCTGAGGCTGTATCGTTGGCTGCCTGGTTCCTGGTGGCCTGCCTGCTCGGCTGACTGTTGGCTGCCTTGCTGGCTGCCTCGATGGCTGCCTCGTTGGCTGCTTTGTTGGCTGTCTCGTTGGCTGCCTCGTTGGTTGTCTCGTTGGCTGCCTCGTTGGTTGTCTCGTTGGCTGCCTCGTTGGTTGTCTCGTTGGCTGCCTCGTTGGTTGCCTTGCCGGGTGCTGTGTCGGTGGCCTCGTTGGGTGCCTTGCTGGCTGCCCTGTCGACCGCCTCGCTGCCTGGCTGGCTGCCTCGTGGGCTACCTCGTTGGCTGCCTCGTGCCTCGTGGGCTACCTCGTTGGCCGCCTCGCTGGCTGCTTCGCCAGTTGCCTCGACGGCTGTTTTTGTTGGCTGCCCCGCGGGCTGCCTCGTCGGAGGCCTCGTTGGCCGCCTCGCTGGGTGCCTCGTAGGCTGCTTCGTTGGCTGGCTTGTTGGCTGCCTCGCCAGCTGCTTTCCTGAAAGCCTACCAGACAACGCCCCCATCAATATCACGAGCAAGCGCCTATCCATCTGCCATGGCGACGATGAAGGGAGCGTGGTAACCCAGGTCCCAAGGACGGCGAACGAAGGAACAGCATGTGCAGAGAAAAAATCGAAATCATGTGTATGCGCTGACTATATCATCCTGGGTAGGAATAAACCGACCCGTTTGCAGCCTGGGGAACGATGGGGCCTCGGAGGCCTCAGGATGGCTCAAGGCAGCCCTCCACAGGACCGTATCCAGCTTTCGATAATGCACCCGATGTCTGTTGTGGGCGGTGGGGCGACAGCAACATGTAACCCTGGGCAGGCAAAATCGAACTTCCCGCTGCTCCGGGGATCATGGGGCCTCCACTCAACGTGTGGGGGATAAGCAGACTTTCACAGGACCGCGTGCTTCCATCCTCTTTCGGCCCCCTCGAGTTACACCCTCCATCTCCGTTTTCCCTTCCCATCCCCCTCCCACTCCTCCCCATGCCCTCTCTTACCCTCCCATCGGCCTCTTCGGAAGGGCCTCCTCTGATTCACCCTCCCGAACCATGCTTAGAAATCCTCCACGCTCCACCGCTTGATCCTCCTCCCCACCACCTCCCATCCTCATCCTTCTCATTCCTCCTGTCTCTCACTACTGTTTCTTGTCCTCCGCATCCTCATCCTCATCCCCATCCTCCACTTCCTCCTCATCCTGATCCTGATCCTCCTCATCCTTCGCTTCCTCCTCCACCTTCTCCCCCAAGTCATGGGATCTTGGATTTATGAGGGTCGCTTTGAGCAATGTGCAGAACTACACAAACCTTGCCATGGACAGTAGATGGACAATATATTCGAACCCTCACACATTCTAGGGAGATTCTGAATCACCCCCGCGCCCCCGACATCAATGTTGATCTCAGCAAAGGCGGTGCTTTGGGGTTCGAATATTTCTGTCCACTCACGCCCCCCCCGTCGCCACGCCATCAATATTAAATTCGGGGGTTCGGGGGGGGCATCTTGGGCCACAGGGTTCGAATATAATGTCCATGTACGGTCCCCCATCTTGTTTTGCAGGTGGGAGTAGGGAGGAGGGAGAGGAGGAGACCGGACAGATGCCACAAACGTCAGCATTACAATCACAATCGCCCTCATCGGCGGCATCATCTCCACCATCATCTCCACCATCAGCATCATCATCATCATCATCATCATCATCATCATCATCATCATCATCATCATCATCATCATCATCATCATCATCAGTATCAGCATCATCAGCAGCAGCATCATCACCCACAACCCTCAAGGAGGAATGAGGAACAGGAGGGAGGAGGGGGGGAGGAGAACGAGGAGAAGGAATAGGAGGAAGATGGAGGTTCCGCTCCTGGGCGTAAGACGCTGGGGCAAGGGGTGAGACGTTTCAGGAGGAGTGCGGAGGGGTCTGGAGGAATGGGAGAACCCCAGAGGATTGGGAGGAGTGCGGAGGGTTGTGGGGAAATGTGACGGTTGTGGGAGGTGAGGAAGGAGTGCGGAGGCGTGGGGAGGACTGGGAGGGTTGCGGAGGTTTCGGGGAGAGTGCGGATGGGTGGGGAGGAATGGGAGGGTGGAGGGAATCTCTTTCGGGAGGAGTGCGGAAGGGGTGGGGAGGAATGGGGCGGTTGCAGAAGGTTTGGGAGGAGTGCGGAGGGATGTAGAAGGATGAAAGGGTTGCGAAGGTGTCGGGAGGAGTGCGGATGGACGTGGAGGAATGGGAGGGTTGCGGAGGTCTCTTTCGGGAGGTGTGCGGAGGAGTGGGGAGGAATGGGACGGTTTCACAAGGTTTGGGAGGAGTGCGAGGGGGTGTGGAGGCACGGGAGGGTTGCGGAAGTTTCGGGAGGAGTGCGGAGGGGTGTGGAGGAATGGGGGAGGTGCGGATATGTGCGGATGTCCCGGGAGGAGTGCGGGGGAGTGGGGAGACATGGAAGGGCTCCGGAGGTTTCGGGGGGAGTGCGGAGGGACGTGGAGGAATGGGACGGTTGTGGAGGTTTCGGGAGGAGTGCGGAGGGGCCTGGAGGAATGCGGGAGGTGCGGATGTCTGGGAGGAGTGCGGAGGGATGTGGAATGATAAAAGGGTTGCGGAGGTTTCGGGAGGAGTGCGGAGGGATGTGGGGGAATGGGAGGGTTGCGGAGGTTTTGGGAGGAGTGCGGAGGGATGTGGAGAGATGGTAGAGTTGCGGATGTTCGGGAAAAGTGCGGAGGGGTGGAGAGATTGGCAGGATTGCGGAGGTTTCGGGAAGAGTTCGGAGGGGTGTGGAGGACTGGGACGGTTGCGGAAGGTTTGGGAGGAGTGCGCAGGGTGGGGGGGAATGGGACGGATCGCGGATGTTCGGGAGGAGTGCGGAGGGGCGGAACGAATTCGAAGGGCTCCGGAGGTTTCGGGAGGAGTGCGGAGGGATGTGGGGGACTGGGAGACTTGCGGAGGTTTGGGGAAGAATGCGGCGGGGTGTGGAGGAATGGGAGAGTTGCGGATGTTCGGGAAGAGTGCGGAGGGGTGAGAAGAATGGCAAGATTGCGGAGGTTCTGGGAAGACTGCGGAGGGGTCTGGGGGAATGGGACGGTTGCGGAAGGTTCGGGGGGACTGCGGAGGGGTGGGGGGGAGTGGGGCGGTTGCGGAGGTTTCGGGTGGAGCGCGGAAGGGCGTGGAGCAGTTGGGAAGAGTGCGGAGGGGCGTGGAGGAATGAGAGGTTTCGGAGTTTTTGTTGGCGGAGTGCGGTGGGGTGCGGACGACTGCAGGGGAGTGGCGAGGACTGGGAAGGAATGGGGGGCCTGCGGAGGAGTTGGGAGTGAATGGACTTGAATGGAATGCAGCGGGGGGCCTCTGTCGTAGACCTCACCCGACAAGGCCTCCAGGGGGGCCTTACGAAGATCCACGGGGGCTCCAAGACGACCCCCAAAGAGGCTCCACGCGGACCGACGGACGGGCCCAGAGGCGACAGCACTGGCATCGTCGACGGTGTCGGTCGGAGTCGTGCCGGGCCAGAAGCACGACGTGCCCGCGGCGGTCGCGCAACGCTCTAGAGCCAGGGGTCTGCCGAAATTGTCGGGGCGCGGCATGCGGAGTCAGCCATCGGTGCCTTCCGTGGAGTTCCCGATGGGGCAACGAGGTGTGGCAACGACGATAATGGCGACAGTGATGATGGCGATGATGGTGATGATGTCTGCGCGCAGCGACCCCAATCGCACGCGGCAGGACTACTTGGTCTTGAACTTAAGAGCCTCGCTAGTGACGAGGGTCGAGAAACAGCGCGGGCACGGCACTAGCTTCGGGGCCGGCGGCTTGGGAATCGGCACAGTGAATAAATACAGTTTCAGCCGCCGGAGCAGCATGCCAGCCTGCCCCTGCGGGCGCTGCGACGACTCGGTCGAGAGGCCCGCCAGCGCCGTCTCGGGGCAGGTGACAAAAATCGGGGCGGACCCCATGTACACCTTGTGCCCGACGTGCTGGTTCTGGGGCATGGTGATGGGCACGGGCTTGCCCTCAAGCCACAGGAGCTGGATGGACAGGGGGAGGTCCTCATCGATGAACATCCACTCGTCCAGCACCGCGGCCTTGGCCTTGTCCAAGCCGTGGAGGCAAAACTGCCCCCCGCCTGGCCTCTCCTGCACGTGCTCACCGCCGAACAGCGGCCGAACCGCCGAGAAGAGAAGAGACTTCCCCTCTCCGCCGAAGCGCCCAGCCAAGGTGACCACCGGGGCCGCCTCGGACCGACCGTGCTTCAGGGACATCAAGATGCTGCTGCACAGGTCGGGGACGTCGATGCGATTCATCGACAGGCTTTCGCGGACGTGGTGCAACCAGCGGCCGCCGCAAACGCAAGGCGTCCGCAAGGCCTCCTTGAACTGCTGCATGACGGGATTCGTCGCGTCTTCGAGGAAGCTGTCCACGTTCTCCCGCGCCCAGGCCTTGTCGATGATCTTCTCCAACACGTGCTCGTTCTTGAACATCCAGGCAACCACCTTGTGCGAGCAGGACGTCTTAGCGTACGCCATCAACTTGCGCACTGCGTGGGGGTCGTCCGGAGTATTCCGGATCCCAGACCTGACCACTATCGGCCACAGGTCCACCTCCTCGACGCGAGGCTCTGGCTTCCCCTTCTCGCCCTCGACCTGCTCCCGCGCGGTCCTGCGCTTCTCCAAAGCGCGGGCGGTCGTCGGCTCCCTCTTCGCCGCGGACAGCGGCGGGTGGTCCGCGGGCCAAGCCAAGTAGTCAACGTCCAGGGCGCTCCGCGGCTTCTTGGGCGTCGCGTTCGCGCAGTACCCGACGGCCGACCAGTACCCGTCGTGGCTGCAGGACCAGTGAGAGGCGAGTTGGTACCTGTTGAGCAAGGCCCGCTTCACGGTCAGGAACTTGCTCTTCTTGCCCAAGTGCAAGGCCACGTGGTAGTGCGCCCGCCGGACGCCTGCCACTGGCGCGTGGTATTCTTTGAATACCACCAGCTTCTTGACCCCGACGGGCGCGGCCCCCTGCCCGCGGTGGCTTGCGAGCCACGCGGGGTCGGCGTCCGGAGCGCCGCAGCAATCCAGGAAAGCGTCGCGGACCTCCTCCCGCGAGAAAGCCGCTGGCGCTCTGAGACCCTCCTTGTCCGTGTGCGGCAGAGTCACCAAGTAGACCTCCCGCGAGGCGTTCCTGTTCTCCTCGCCGACGACGTGCTCGAGGAGCGCCGTCTGCTGGCTCTGCTTCCCCACGAGCCTGCGGCGCTTCTCTGGCCTGTCCACCGAGAGCGCCATCCCCCCGCGCGACCCGGCCAGGGCCAGCCCCCGCCCCGCTGAGCCGACAGGCTACAGAGAAAAACGCAATGCGGACCGTCGGGGTCTTCGGGGGCATCGTAAACCGCCGCCTGGCTGCTCAGTTGGGGAGCTCGTTGCACCTGGCGTCGTCTGCGCACCTGTCGCACTTGGGCGCTCCCCGTTCACCTGGCGCGTGTGGCCCACCTGTCGCGTGCCGCGCACCTGTCGCACGCGGCGCACTTGGCGCGCCTGGCGCGCCCCCTGCACCTCTGGGCGGGGTCGGCGGATCCTGTCCATGGATGCCGCTCGCGCGGCATTGTTGGACATGTGCAAACATGCATAAAACTCATACTGAACCTACAGTGAACCATCAGTGAACCAACAGTGAACCAACAGTGAACCATGGCAAATTACATAGTGAACCTCCATTTTTATATAAAAAAGAAAAGTTCCCTACTCTTTTTTAATAGAATTCGAAGGTTCACTATGGTTTTTACGAAGGTTCACTGTTGGTTCACTGTTGGTTCACTGTTGGTTCACTGTTGGTTCACTATGTTTTTTGCTGCATGTCTCGTGCGAGGGGCTCTCTGGGGTCGCCAGGGCGCTGGCGCCTGGGGGGCCTCGGCGGACAGAATCATAATGCCAAGATCAGGTACTTTCGACTACGCCTGCTGGTCCTGTAGCCGCAAGGGCGGTGGACGCACGGATTGGTCTTGATCGTGGACCGCGACTGGCTCCCTTCCCGCGCCCCACGTCGCTCGCGCGGGTCAACCGAGGCGCGGGCCGCGACGGGCCGCCCGCCGCCCCGGCCCGCTGCGGGCCCGCCGCGACTCGCGCCGCGGCCGCCCGAGGAAACCGCGCGCGCGCTCAGTTCCCACCGCCCTCGGCGAAGTGGCCGCCCTTCGCCTCGACCAACAAGCCGCAGCGCTTGTGCAGGCTGCCCATGATGCTGTGGATGTACTCAGAAGGCGTCGCCAACGCCGTGCGGCGCAGCCGGGCCAGGTACTGCGCCCGCGTCTCCGTCTTGCTCGCGGGCCAGTCTTTCTCCTGTCCCCTCATGCGCTTGTTCAGATTGGCCCAGAAGGCGAAATCAAGCGGCATCAGATCAGGGGACCGCTTCGGCAAGTCCAACGTCTGGATGCCAGCGGACTTCTTCGCCGCCATGCCCGAGCGAGATTTGTAGCCCGTGGGGTCGTTGTCTTCCATGACGCGGAACTTGCCGCGCACGGAAGGGTAGGCCCTCTTCAAAGCGGGCTGGAGCGCCCCCGAGTACATTCGCCCCGCGGCTGCGGCGTTCCACCTGCCGACCACCTGGTGCCACATCAACACCTTGCCCGCGCCGATGGCGCACGCGATGGTCACGGAGCCCTTGCCCGAACTCTGCTTCAGAACCTGGGGGCGAGCCAAATCAGAGCGCGCCGTCGGCCACTGGCCTGGCGCTGAGTGGCCTCGGCGCGGTCTCCGATTTGCGCCAGCCCGAGAACCTTAGGGTTGCTCGGCTTGACGTGGCCCACGGAGAAGTCCCGCTTGCGCTTCCTGTACACCCCGCGAACCTTGCGCTTTGCCGCCACCTTCCTGTACTTCGCATTGGGCAGCACCTGGAACACCTTGTTGTCCATGCACGCGTGGACGTACTGTGACCACTGGCTGGGGCTCCGGTGCTTGTGCTCGCGGGCCCACTGCAGGCGCTCCTTCTTGTCCCCATCCGAAAGGTCAGGCTTCTCGTACAGCGGGCGGAACTGGTAGCCATTCTCAGCAAACGCGCGGCGCACTGTCTTGATGTTGCATTTCAACTTCATCTCGGACTTCAGCATGGCTGCCGTCACTTCCTTTGTGCCGCCCGAGGACTTCAGAAGCTTCTTGTAAGCGCGCTGGGCAGCGAGAAACCCTTTGGGGGTGCGGATGGAATGCTTCGGACGGCCCTTGGACTTCTTGGTCGTGTTCTTTTTGAACAAATGCTTCGAGACGGTGTCCGTGGAGCGGCTCAAGGCCGCGGCGATCCTCTTGACGCCCATGCCGCTGTCATGCAAGCGGCGCATTGCGACGTGCTCGTCGGCAGATACAAGAGTGAAGGATTTCGGCGACATTCTCCGGCTGTGGAGACAACGACGGGCCAAATGCGCTCGGTCCAGAAAGCGCTGCGGTCATCCTTCCAACGGGGGCATCCTGAAAATGGATGCAGTCCAGTGAGCGAGGGCATCCTATATCTCGGATGCCCTTTTTTCCATTAGTAGCGCCATAGGTTCGGGTGGCTTCTGTCCGAGAAAATGGTTTAGATCTGCGCGACATGCGCGCGCAGGTGCGCAAGGGGGATCCATTTTGGGATCCCCCCTCGCTGCTGCTTCGTCGGCTGCCCTGAGGCTGTATCGTTGGCTGCCTGGTTCCTGGTGGCCTGCCTGCTCGGCTGCCTGTTGGCTGCCTTGCTGGCTGCCTCGATGGCTGCCTCGTTGGCTGCTTTGTTGGCTGTCTCGTTGGCTGCCTCGTTGGTTGTCTCGTTGGCTGCCTCGTTGGTTGTCTCGTTGGCTGCCTCATTGGTTGCCTTGCCGGGTGCTGTGTCGGTGGCCTCGTTGGTTGCCTTGCTGGCTGCCCTGTCGACCGCCTCGCTGCCTGGCTGGCTGCCTCGTGGGCTACCACGTTGGCTGCCTCGTGCCTCGTGGGCTACCTCGTTGGCCGCCTCGCTGGCTGCTTCGCCAGTTGCCTCGACGGCTGTTTTGTTGTGCTGCCCGCGGCGCTGCCTCGTGGAGGCCTCGTTTGGCCGCCTCGCTGGGTGCCTCGTAGGCTGCTTCGTTGGCTGCCTTGTTGGCTGCCTCGCCAGCTGCTTTCCTGAAAGCCTACCAGACAACGCCCCATCAATATCACGAGCAAGCGCCTATCCATCTGCCATGGCGACGATGAAGGGAGCGTGGTAACCCAGGACCCAAGGACGGCGAACGAATGAACAGCATGTGCAGAGAAAAAATCGTAATCATGTGTATGCGCTGACTATATCACCCTGGGTAGGAATAAACCGACCCGTTCGCAGCCTGGGGAACGATGGGGCCTCGGAGGCCTCAGGATGGCTCAAGGCAGCCCTCCACAGGACCGTCTCCAGCTTTCGATAATGCACCCGATGTCTGTTGTGGACGGTGGGACGACAGCAACATGTAACCCTGGGCAGGCAAAATCGAACTTCCCGCAGCTCCGGGGATCCATGGGGCCTCCGAGGCCTCCAGGACGGCCCAAGGCAGCCCTTCACAGGACCGTCTCCTTCCATCCCTCTTTCGGCCCCCTCCGATCCCCTCCCCTCCCCGTTCCCTTCCCCTCCCCTCCCCTCCTCCCCATGCCCTCTCTTCCCCTCCCATCGCCTCTTCGTCCCTGCCTCCTCTGATTCACTCCTCCCGCACCTGCTTAGAAATCCTCCACGCTCCACCGCTTGATCCTCCTCCCCACCACCTCCCATCCTCATCCTTCTCATTCCTCCTGTCTCTCACTACTGTTTCTTGTCCTCCGCATCCTCATCCTCATCCTCCATCCTCCTCTTCCTCCTCATCCTGATCCTGATCCTCCTCATCCTTCGCTTCCTCCTCCACCTTCTCCCCCAAGTCATGGGATCTTGGATTTATGAGGGTCGCTTTGAGCAATGTGCAGAACTACACAAACCTTGCCATGGACAGTAGATGGACAATATATTCGAACCCTCACACATTCGAGGGAGATTCTGAATCACCCCCGCGCCCCCGACATCAATGTTGATCTCAGCAAAGGCGGTGCTTTGGGGTTCGAATATTTCTGTCCACTCACGCCCCCCCCGTCGCCACGCCATCAATATTAAATTCGGGGGTTCGGGGGGGCATTTTGGGCCACAGGGTTCGAATATAATGTCCATGTACGGGAGCTCCACCGACGGCCCCAGTGCCACCGTCCACATGCGCCCCCCCCCACTCAGTACAGCGCTTCGTGGCCCCATAGGGAGCTCCACCGAAGGCCCTGGTGCCACCGTCCACATGCGCCCCCCCCACTCAGTACAGCGTTTCGTGGTCCCATAGGGAGCTCCACCGAAGGCGTCCGGTGGGACCATCCGAGTGCGTCCTGAAACATTCAATTTTGTATTTTCACCCACCCATTACAGCGGTTCGTGGCTCCACAGGGAGCTCCACCGAAGGCCCCAGTGCCACCGTCCACATGCGTCCCCCCCACTCAGCACAGCGCTTCGTGGCCCCATAGGGAGCTCCACCGAAGGCCCCAGTGCCACCGTCCACATGCGCCCCCCCCACTCAGTACAGCGTTTCGTGGCTCCATAGGGAACTCCACCGAAGGCCCCAGTGCCACCGTCCACATGCGTCCCTCCCCACTCAGTACTGCGCTTCGTGGCCCCATAGGGAGCCCCACCGAAGCCCCCAGTGCCACCGTCCATATGCGTCCCCCCCTCTCAGTACTGTGTTTTCGTCCAGGGGCTCCCATTAGGGAAGCTCCACCCGGGCCCAGTGCACCGTCACATGTAGAAACACATCAGTTACAGCGCTTGTGGCCCCATAGGGAGCTCACCGAAGGCCCCAGTGCCACCGTCCACATGCGTCCCCTCCCCACTCAGTACTGCGCTTCGTTGGGCCCATAGGGAGCTCACCGAAGGCCCCGAAGCCACCAGTTCCACATGCGTCCCGGAACACTTCAGCACAGGTCTCGTGGCCCATAGGGGAGTCAAGGACGCGTGCCCACCGTCCACACGCGTCCCCCCCAACCAGTACAGCGCTTCGTGGCCCCATAGGGAACTCCACCGAAGGCCCCAGTGCCACCGTCCACATGCGCCCCCCCCGTTTCGTGGTCCCATAGGGAGCCCCACCGACGGTCACAGTGCTACCGTCCACATGCGTCCCCCCCCACTCAGTACAGCGTTTCGTGGCCCCATAGGGAGCTCCACCGAAGCCCCCAGTGGGACCGTCCGAGTGCGTCCTGAAACATTCAATTTGGCATTTTCACTAACCCATTACAGCGTGGCTCCACAGGGAGCTCCACCGAAGGCCCCAGTGCCACCGTCAGCATGCGTCCCGCACTCCAATGTGGCATTTACACGCACCCAGTGCAGCGTTTCGTGGCCCCACAGGGAGCTCCACCGAAGACCCCAGTGGGACCGTCCGCAAGCGTCCCGAAACACCAATTGTGGCATTTTCACATACCCAGTCCAGAATTTCGTGGCCCCGTAGGGAATTCCACCGAAGGCCCCAGTGCCACCGTCCGCATGCGTCCCGAAAGCCCAACGTGGCATTTTTACATACCCGATACAGCGTTTTGTGGTCCCTTAGTGAGCTTCACCGAAGCCCTCAGTGGGACCGTCCGCATGCGCCCCGGAAGCCCAATTTGGCATTTTCACCCACCCAGTGCAGCGCTTCGTGGCCCCATAGGGATTTCCACCGAAGCCTCCAGTGGGACCGTCCGCATGCGTCCCGGAAGCTCAATTTGGGATTTTCACTTGCCCCACCGAAACCCCCAGTGGGACCGTCCGCATGCGTCCCGGAAACCTTACTTGACACACCACTCACCCAGAACAGCGTTCCCCCCCACCCAGTGCAGCGCTTCGTGGCCCCATAGGGAGTTTCACCGAATACGATTTCCACAATTGCGGTACCCACAGCTGCATATGGTTGGGTCCTTCGCCAGGATGTTTTTTTGTTTGTTACCTAACAGCTTTTGCTGATAGGTTTCTAGTGGTCTCAACAGAGAGCAGCAGATGACTCCTCAGGGGGGTCTGGGCGGGACCCGGGCCATGCCGCCTGAAATCGCTTGGGACATCCTCGCAAAATCGCTCTTGGTGCTCCCAGAACTCCATTCCCGGGCCACATTTTGGATGCCCGGAGCCAACTGTAGGCCACTTCGTGCTCTTCGACTTCCCAGAACTCCATTCCCGGGCCACATTTTGGATGCCCGGAGCCAACTGTAGGCCACTTCGTGCTTCGAGTTCCCAGAACTCCATTCCTGGGCCACATTTTGATGCCCGGAGCCAACTGTAGGCCACTTCGTGCTCTTCGAGTTCCCAGAACTCCATTCCCGGGCCACATTTTGATGCTGAGGCAGGCTGATGCTGAGCTGAGGCTGAGGCTGAGGCAGGCTGAGGCTGAGGCCGAGGCTGAAGGCTGAGGCTGAGGCAGGCTGAGCTGAGGCAGGCTGAGGCTGAGGCAGAGGCTGAGGGCTGAGGCTGAGGCAGGCTGAGGCTGAGGCTGAGGCTGCTGAGGCTGAGGCTGAGGCAGGCTGAGGCTGAGGCTGAGGCAGGCTGAGGCTGAGGCTGAGCAGGCTGATGCTGAGGCAGGCTGAGGCTGAGGCTGAGGCTGATGCAGGCTGAGGCAGGAGGCTGAGGCCGAGGCTGAAGGCAGACTGAGGCTGAGGCTGAAGCAGGCTGAGGCTGAGGCTGAGGCAGGCTGAGGCTGAGGCTGAGGCTGAGGCTGAGGCGAGGCTGAGGCCGTTGCCGCTGCGACTGTCATCGCGAATGCGACTACGACTGCGAGAACAGCAGAATTCTACAACTGGATTTTCATCTGAATCTTAAGGGGAATGCTTTCAGATATGTTTCTACACATCGCTGTTAGGTTGCTTAGCCGGGATAATTTGTTACCTAACAGCTTTTGCTGATAGGTTTCTAGTGGTTTCAAAAGAGAGCATCATGACTCCTCAGGGGGGTCTGGGCGGGACCCGGGGCGGTGCCGCCGAAGCCGAAATGGCTTGGGACATCCTCGCAAAATCGCTCTTGGCGCTGCTAGAACTCCATTCCCGGGCCACATTTTGGATGCCCGGAGCCAACGGTAGGCCACTTCGTGCTGTTCGACTTCCCAGAACTCCATTCCCAGGCCACATTTTGGATGCCCGGAGCCAACTGTAGGCCACTTCGTGCTCTTCGATTTCCCAGAACTCCATTCCCGGGCCACATTTTGGATGCCCGGAGCCAACTGTAGGCCACTTCGTGCTCTTCAAGTTCCCAGAACTCCATTCCTGGGCATGATTTGGAATGCCCGGAGCCAACTGTAGGCCACTTCGTGTTCTTCTAGTTCCCAGAACTTTATTCCTGGGCCACATTTTGAATGCTGAGGCAGGCTGATGCTGCGGCCGAGGCAGGCTGAGGCTGAGGCAGGCTGAGGCTGAGGCCGAGGCTGAGGCTGAGGCTGAGGCTGAAGCAGACTGAGGCTGAGGCTGAGGCAGGCTGAGGCTGAGGCTGAGGCAGGCTGATGCTGAGGCAGGCTGAGGCTGAGGCTGAGGCTGATGCAGGCTGAGGCTGAGGCAGGCTGAGGCTGAGGCCGAGGCTGAAGGCAGACTGAGGCTGAGGCTGAAGCAGGCTGAGGCTGAGGCTGAGGCAGGCTGAGGCTGAGGCTGTGACTGCGACTGCCGTTGCCGCTGCGACTGTCATCGCGAATGCGACTACGACTGCGAGAACAGCAGAATTCGACAACTGGATTTTCATCTGAATCTTAAAGGGAATGCTTTCAGATATGCTTCTACACATCGCTGTTAGGTTGCTTTGCCGGGATATTTTTTTTTTTGCGGCCAGCTGGCATCCCAGCCAGGGGCTTCCTGTACGTGCTGCGCTGGCGGGGCACGCGTGCCTGGAGACTCTGGGGAGCTCCTCCCTGGGATTCCTCGGGGCTTCCCGCCTCGGATTCCGGGCTTCCTGTCTGGGATTCCGGGGAGCTTCTCGGCATGCCCGCGGGAATCTCGAGGAGTTCCGCGCGACTCCCGAGGGGATCTCCTAGGAGCCTGGGGCGGCCTGACGGGCCCCTAGGTCGGCAGCGGCTGCAGGCAGCCGTGGTGGTACACGGGCGCTCAAGTGCTTCACCATCATCTTGCTAGACATGGTCAACGCCAGGCCGTGCCTGGAGGGGGCCAAGAGGTACGTCAAGCTCTACGTCGACGACACCACGCTCCACCTGCAAGGTGAGCGAGAGGCGGTGGTGCACGAGGCGGAGGAGTCGGCGACGGCATACATTCAGGCAGCCGAGGCAGAAGGCCTCCCTCTGTCGCTCACCACGCACAAGAACGGCGTCACAAAGAAGGGCAAGAGCTATGTTTACACGGCAGACAAGAAGGCCAAGCCCAAGTTCAAGCTCTGGGCGAAGGACTGGGGCCTGGAGATACAAGATCAGGGCGTGCAGCTGGGCGTGGACTTCACGGGCGGTGTTGGTGCACAGCGGCGGCCCGAGCAGAAGGAGCGCGTAGAGGTCATGGTCACTAGGGGCACCAAGCTGAACATCCTTCAGAAGCAGGGCGCCAGCATTGGCACGGCTAAGGTAGCCAAGCTTGGATTCTTGCCGTCCGTACGCTACGGGGTGGCTTGTGCTGGAGCGCCGCCGAAGCTCATCGAGAGGGCTCGCATCAACATGTCGATGGCACTGAGTGGCGAGGCCATGGGCAAGGATCGCACCTTGCGCCTGTGGCTCGAGGAAGCCGATCCAGCGGTGAGCCTCACCATTCGCACAGTGGTGAAGTGGGCAGAGGTGGTATGGAGTCGGGCCATGGACGAGGAGGCTATGGTCGCGGCATGGAGGAAGGCGTCAGCGCGGCTGGCCACGACAGGCACGGTGGCATGGTCGGCACTCAAAGGACCTGCAGAGGCAGTCCTGGGGACCCTGCGCGACCTCGGCTGGTCATGGCCTGCGCCGTGGACGCTGCTCACACCAGCGGGCGACCAGGTGTCATTGCACACGGTGGCGCCCAAGACGGTCAGGCACAAGCTGGAGAGGGCCATCGAGCGGCAGGTCTTCACCAAGTGGGCCACAGAGAAGGGCATCGCCGAGGAGGTACCGATGCCGTTTTTGGAGCCCGTGAGGGCGCTGCTCAAGAAGCGCAGGTCGGCTGCGCATCAAGGCGCCATCAAGGCCTACGTGGGGCAGGACTACTGCGCGCAGGCCAAGCTCCAGCAGCGCGGCACGGTAGCAGACGGCATGTGCCAGCGGTGCATGCGCGCGCTAGGCGCTCAGAGGCACCGCTCCGGGCGATGCGAGGCCCACGAGGAGAGCAGGGCCAAGTTCGCAGACAAGCATGCGGGCATCGTGCAGCGCATGGCGGGTTCAGGCGAGAGCTTGCAGCTCAACTGCGGCCTGGTGGCGCGCCCCATCCAGGACATAGGGGGCGACGCCCAGATCGACCAGTGCCACTCGGTCAACGCAGAGGGCGACGACGCCAGCGAGGACGACGTCATGCCGTTTATCTCGGGGGTCTGCTTCACTGACGGCTCGGGAAAAGGCGCCAACTCGCTCAAGGGCGATGGCTGGGGCTACATGTGGTTTGAGGCGCCGCCGGGCGGAGGCCAGTGCACGGCGCTTGGAGGAGCGCGCGGGAGCCTGCCAGGAGTACGAGCTGATCTGTCGGTGGGGCGGGCTGAGCTCCAGGCCATCTGGCACGCCCTGAGCAGGGCCACGGCCCCCACCATGCTGGTCGCCGACTACGAAATGGCGGTGAGAGGCATGGGGAGGGGCCGACAGTGGTGCACGGCGCCGCAGAGGAGTAATTGCGACATTTGGATGCGCATTTGGAACGTTGTGGATGAGACCTTCCCGAACATGGATGGCCTCACGGTGGCGCATGTACGGTCGCGTGGCAGAGGGCAGAACGCGTTCCATGTGCACGGCAACAAGATCGCCGATGAGCTGGCGGTCAAAGGTGCGCAGCTGGCCATGCCGCCACAGTGGCAAATCGACGTTTGGCAGGACCGCTGGAAGACAGTACAGCAGGTGCTGGCCTTCGTGGCAGACATGGCAGTGGAGGTCGGCGACTTCGGGGACGTCGCGCTGCCCACCAAAGAGGAGGCACGGGCGCGGCGCCGACGAGAGGCCCAGCCGCGAGGACGGCAACCCGAGGCCGACGAGGCGAGGCCTGCCATGACCTCGGCAGGGCAGGCCACGGATGCAGGAGCGACAGCTGTATCGGCGGCAGCGGCAGCGGCAGCGGCAGCAGGCGCATCGCCTGAGGAGGTGGCTGCTGCAGCCGAGGAGGCTGCGAGGGTGGCGACACAGCCAGCAGCAGCAGCCGCGGCCGCCGATGACGAGATGGAGGACGACCGCATTGAGGACGACGGTTGCGGTGATGCTGCTGGATCGAGCGCGCCTGATGGCCCTGTGGCGCGAGGGCGGCCGCAGGGCCCGACGTTCAGGAGGCGCAACTTCGCCACAGAAGACCAGTGGTACAGGTGCCTGGACTGCGGCGCGCGCTCCAAGGTGCATGGGGGCCAGAGCGGCGCAGTGCAGGCGCCAGCGGTGCCTCGGGGTGCGGCAGCGAGTGAACCATGAGGGTGGCTCTGTGCATAGGAGTTGCAGCCGTGGCCGAGGCGCTGCGACGCCTAGCTCCCAGCCGCGCGAGCCAGTTGTGCCTGCCCCGCCTGCGGCTCCTCCTGCTGCCCCCCCACCTCCTGTGGGGCCGAGCTCGGGGCCAGCCAGTGCTAGCGGACGGGTGGCCAACAGGGCCACAGACCAGCGCTGGGGCACCAGCTGTACCGCGCAGGGCCGTGCACATTTTGTGGCCGATGCGGGGTAAGGTGCTCTGGGCGTGCCTTGCGGTCCCTAGGTGACCGCTGCCAAGGTCAGGCGGCCTCGAGACAGGTCACCTGCGCGAAGGCGAAGTTGCTCGGTGGTTGGTGCCCCACGAAGGTGGGCGTGCGCGTGGCCGAGGCAGCAGTGCGGCTCACAGACAGTGAGGTCCGCGCCTTTTTGAGGGTGGCCTAGTGGCTGCCCGCAGCACAGCTCGCGAGCAGCCGTTGCGCCGCGAAGCTTTGCCGCGGCAAAAAAATGATCACGCTTAGAAATGAACGACGTTTATGTGTGCGGCGGGGGGAAGCTTGAGAGGCGAGGGTAACGTCACGGAAGGGGGTGGTTTGCTAGGGGTCGGTTAGGCTCGAGTCTGGCATGTCCCTCCGCAGGAGGAGCCTTCACGAGCAGTAGAAAACACATAGTCTGGCGACGACGTGCCGTGCACTTTTTGGGGGACTGCAGTTCCGAGTGCCTGTCGCGACCGTGTACTCCTCTTCCCGCGCCTGCCTGCAGGAGGACCGGGCCCGACCCGCGGCTCGGCCGCGCCCGAGGCCGCGCCGCCCCCACGGGCTCGCGGCGGGCTCGGGGAGCCCCGCCGAGGGGGGGGGGGGGCGGGGAGCGGCGGCAGAGGCGCCCGCGGGCCGAGCTCTGCGCCCCCCGCCTGCGCCGGAATTGGCGGCCCGCGGCAGCAGCCTTTAGGCTGCGGAAGAGGGCCGTGGCGAGGCGCACGGGGGCGCATGGGGCCGAGGTGGTCGAGGTGTTCGAGGGCCGAGGGGGGGCCGAGGGGGCCGAGGGGGTCGAGGGCCGAGGGGGCCGAGGAGGGGCCGAGGGGGGGCCGGGGGTCGGGGGGGAGGGGTCGGGGGGGCGAGGGGGTCGAGGGGGCCGAGGGTCGAAGGGGGGGAGGCGCGGGGGGGGGGGGGGGGGAAGGGCGGGCGGGAAGGGATAGGGGGGGGGGGGGGGCGAGGGTCGAGGGCCGAGGGGAAGAAGAGACACGGTCGGACCGAGGCACACAGCCCCCCTCGAGATCGAGCGCACGTTTTTCCAACGGCGTGGCGACGCCCCTGGGCCCCCCATTTTCAGTGTTGGCGCCGAAACCGGCGGCTGCAATTTTTGTGTTGCCCCCGCGGGCCGCGCTGCGCGCGCCCGTCAGCATGGAAATTCGGGGGCGAGGGGGTAGAAGAAAGGCTTGCGTTTGATTTCGAGGAGGGTTGGACGATCGAGGTCGGCTCGGGGTGGTACCCTGATGGTCTTCGTGTCTGCTGGATGTTCTTGTGCATCCTTGGGGAGGGCACCCTCGAATGTTCTTCAGTTTGGGCTGGCGGAGGGACTCATGTTCTTGAAGGATGTTCGTCTATCCTAGGTTCGGCCGTACCTCACTGCCACGGCTAGATCCGCTCCAGGAAACTGATCAGAACGCACCCCAGAAGAGGTCCGTGGAGTAGCGGTATGGCTAACATTTCGTTTCCCTGGTTCTCCAACAGGCATCGCGGTGGAAGTTTGCCCGCATGGACGGCCCAAGAGGGGCTAAGAGAGCGCCAGGATGGCCCAAGAGGGCGCTAAGAGAGCGCCAAGACGGTCCTAAGAGGCCTCGCGGACGGCAAGGCGGGTCCAGGACAGCCCAACCTCAAGACGGCCTCAGAGCGTCCCCGCTCCAAGACGCCCCAAAGACGGCCCCAGGAGCCCCCAAACAGCCCCAAAAAGACGCCAAAAGAGGGGCCAAAAGAGAGGCCAAAAGAGGCACGATAGCGCCCCATGAGCCTGAAGAACGCCGCATGATCGTCCAGAAATCTGAAGCCGTCGGCAAGAAGGAAGGGAGTGGGGGGGGGCAGGAGTTGGAGAGACGAGGGCAGGGGGAGGATGGCCGAGGATGCGTGGAATAGAGAGGAGAGAGGATGGGAGATGAAGACGAAGACAAGGACATTAGAGAAGGCGATGGGCGGGCCATGATGGGGGCCAGAGGAACGAGGGACGGAGAGGTGGGAGAAGTGATGAGGGAAGATGATAAGCAGGAGGAGGAGGAAGAGGCAAGAGGAAGGGGCCTGTAGTGAGGATTCCCTCCCTTGCCCTTTGAGGGTGTCCTTGTCCTAGACTCGCAACTTTTTCCTGGCTCTAATATGTCTTGTTCGTGCACATGTAATTACACTCGAGTTGCTGTCGAGGCTGGTGTTTGCTAGAACCTAATCGCGCAAAGCGCGTGCGTGGTTCTAGTAAGAAGATCAGTCTATAGTTTATTCCTCATGTTTCTCTGCGTCCTCCTTATACACGTCGCCCCATTTCTCTATATCTTCTCTGCTGCCCCCTCATTTCCAGAGAGAGAGAGAGAGAGAGAAAGAGAGAGAGAGAGAGAGACATAATGAGAACCAGCGCGCTGTCCAGGAGGTTGCCCAGACCAAAGAGCTCGAGATGGATGTCGCAGAGCTTCTCCTATATGTGGCATCGGGATGCGAGATGTAGCACTGTTGTTAAGTGTGGCTGTTGCCTCATGCTTCTCTCGATCCTTCATCGTCTCGATACCATGCGTGGTTCTGCGTCCAGGATGAGGCGTGAAAATGGCCAGAGGGAATTGATGAGCCTTGGATGGCCAACCTGGTTCTTCTGCATTCGTGTTGCTTCCGAATTTTTGCATAGGCACGCACACCTCCCAATGATCGCCAGCGCCCGGTTGCATCCCACTGTATCGATGCCCGTGGGTTCGAATGGTTGAGAACAAATTCGAGGCCACTGGGGGGGTCAGATTGGTCATTGTTGGCGTTATCTTGTGGCTCTCTCGGGCTATTGACCAGGTCCAGGACCTCAATTGGGTTTGCTTGGGCTCCATTTTGGATTTATTCATAACGCTTTGCGTATTCTGGCGCCCGGCGTCTTCTGGTGCGCCCGCGATCAAAAAATTCCCACCAGCCCATCCAGACCCATTGGAGCTGCCCTGAACGGGGGAGCGTGGCATCATTTGGAAATCTTGGGGGCCTGTGTCAGCCCGAGGCCCCTTGGATGCCTCCTCTGGTCTCTCGGGGTGTCTCTTGGGGCCTCTTGGAGGTCTCCTGGGGCGCCTTGGGGGCCTCTTGGTGGCTTTTGGGGCCCCTTAGGGCCTTAGGGGCCTCTTGGGGGCCTCTTGGGGTCGCTTTAGGCGCCTTTTGGGAACCTCTTGGGGCTGTATCGGGGGCTTTTTAGAGCCTGTATCGGGGGCTTTGGGGGCCGTCTTGGGGCCTTCTTGGAGGCTAGAGGTTATCAAAGGGGGCAGCGCAAATTAGCCTCGCGCCATCCCACAGGCCAAATTTGGCGCATCAGCTACGGAAAACCATCGGGTGTTCCCAACAATCCCATGGTGTTGGGTCCTCGTTTTCAAGAGGCAGCGCCCCGCATTCCTCACTCCTCCCTCCTCCCTCCTCCCATCCTCCCTCCTCTCATCTCCTCTCACCCCTGCCTCTGCCCTCCGCACGTCGGCCATGTCGGCACACCCCTCGCGCGGCTCGTGACCCCATAGGGCGCTCCACCGAAGGCCACAGAGGCGGTGCTCGCGTGCGGCCGCCCGACCCATTCAGGCACACCTTTCCCGAGACGGCTCAATGCGAGTTGCCACACTGGTGGCTCAAGACATCCAGGGACAGATCCCCCATCCTCACTCAAGAAGGGGCCCAAGAATCCCCACAAAAGGCCTGTCGAAACGGGGGTGTCGCCCACATGCGGGCTCCGACACTGGCACCGTAGGTGGATCTCCCTGATGATGCTGATGCTGATGCTGGTGCTGGTGCTGATGCTGTTGCTGATGCTGATGCTGATGATGATGCTGCTGCTGCTGATGATGATGATCATGATGATGATGATGATGGTGGTGGTGGTGATGATGATGTTGCTGATAATGCTGATGCTGACGATGCTGGTGATGCTGCTGCTGATGATGATGCTGCTGATGATGATCATCATCATGATGATGAGTTGATAGATCATGATGATGAGGAGCAGGAGGACGAGGAGGGGGAGGAGGAGGAGGAGGAGGAGGAGGAGGAGGAGGAGGAGGAGGAAGATGAGGAGGAGGAGGAAGGAGGAGGAGGAGGAGGAGGAGAGAGGAGGAGGAGGAGGAGGAGGAGGAGGAGGAGGAGGAGAGGGGGAGGAAGGGGGCAGCGGGAGAATGAGGAGGAGGAGGAGGAGGAGGAGGAGGAGGAGGAGGTGGAGGAGGAGGAGGAGGAGGAGGACGCGGGGCGCTGTCTTTTCAAAACGAGGACCCAACACCACAGGATGGTTGGGACATGTCCATGCAACCTGATCGCAGGGCGCCCGCGCATGATCCAGATGTTGGTGCAATGTGCACAAGGTATCGTTGTTTTGCAAGATTGTGGGCGTTAGCAGTGTACCAGGTTTTTCGCTGGTCGGGTGGGGAAGGGGGTGCTTGTTCATAACAGGCAGTGATAAGCCCCCCCCCGAAGGGGAAGAAGGATGCTTGAAGTGGAAGCGCGTTGAACCTCTCACGCCCAGAGGGCTGGTGGGATTCAGTTTTGGTCGGACCGAAGTAGAAGGTCGAGGTCGATTAGGGGAGGATGCCCCAACGTTCTTCGTGTTTGTTGGATGTTCTTGTGCATCCTAGGGGATGGCACCCTCGAGTGATCTCATGCTTTGGGTGTTTTGGCCGGCGGAGGGCCTCACGCTCTTGAAGCATGTTCTTCTGTCCTGGGTCCGACCGTGAGCCTCTCGCGCCCAGAGGGCTGGTGGGATCCAGTCATGCTGGAGGGAAGGGGGTGCACCGCCGATCCGAGAAGCCCGCCTGCCCCCCTGCCGGCCGGCGCAGGTCATGTGGGGCGGCATGACGCTGCGGGAGCACGAGGATCGGGAGCTGCTAGAAGGTGTCCCTTGGCCCAAGGGCGCGCCCAGTTTTCGTTCCCTCCGGGAGCCAGGCCCTCTGGGCCTCGTGAGGGGTGCATTGGAGGCCTTGGGGGCCTCCTTGGGCCATCCTGGGGGCAGCTTGGGCCAGGGGCACTTCCTCTGGCACACGAAAGGAGCGGCAGAGGGCCATCGAGAGCGGAGACGTCGACGCCGACGGCGGCAAGCAGGGCAAGAAGAGGCTGCCCGCCCCACCAAGGGCGGGCGGCACGTCCTCCGGGGGTGGGGGAAGGGCGGGAGTGAGGGGCACCCTTCGGGAGGGTTGCGGTCGGGAACGTTTGAATACTTTTGGCGTCGCTCAGCGTCGATTGGCGTCGATGAGAGTCGATCAGCGTCGGCCAGCGTCGCTTCGCAAGAGCTTACAAGATGGCATGGGAGACTCCCATGAGTTGCCACGGTGTGGGTTCACGAGCGGCGAACATACGGTCGGGAACGTTCGGTTAACGTGTCGCTCCACCGGTTCTGGCCCGCCACGCCTTGGCACGACACGCTGTCCACGTCCCCGCTTCCAGGCGCCAGCGT